AAATCGAAATCGTGACACCCCTAGCTGACACGCAGAAAAAGGCCACAGGTTGGTCTCTAACCCTGGGCCACTGCAGCAAGGACTCAGCCTTGGTACCTGGGTGAGCTATCTGAGTGCCCCAGCATCATTTAGTTTTCTATTGTTTTACCATTATTTCCTTATTTGATTGGAACTAGTATTTTTTTATTTGGAAATACAGGTGCATGTTACCTACCTACAGATCTTGTTGTACAGATTTAAGGAAACATATTTGTTTGGTAAAGACCCCAACAAATTTCACATCATCATGATTTTAATCATTTGTATTCAATCTAAATTAAAATTGTGATGGAAAAATGATAATTCCCACACTAATCCTGAATCACATAGCAATCACAATATCTGTCAAAATAATTCTGGAAGTAATCGGCTCAACAAGCTTCATTTACTTCCACTGCTCTCACCAACACACTTGTGCTTTTTGAAAACATGAAGCCGAGTGAAAGTTTTATCACAAACATTGCAGCTGAATGGTTTCTCCTCTGAGTGGACCGTCAAGTGCTCTCTCAGAAATCTCTTTCGTGCAAATCCTTTACCACACACTGAACAACTAAATGGTTTCTCCCCTGTGTGAACAGTCAAGTGTTCTCCCATATCTCCCTTTCGTGTAAATCCTTTCCCACAAACTGAACAACTGAAGGGTTTCTCCCCTGTGTGGACAGTCAAGTGTTGTCTCAGATTTCCATGTAGTGCAAATCTTTTACCACAAACTGAACAACTAAATCTTTTCTCCCCTGTGTGGATTCTCATGTGTTGGGACAAATTCTGTCTGTCACTAAAACTCGTCTTACAAACTGAGCAGGTGAAAGGTTTTTCTCCTGTATGAACTCTTAAGTGTGATGTCAAGCTATAGCTTAGTGAAAATCCTTTTCCACAGACAGAACAACAGAAGGGTTTCTCCCCTGTGTGGGTCGTCAAATGTCGTCTCAGAGTATCCTTTTGCGCGAACCTTATCCCACAGACAGAGCAACAGAAGGGTTTCTCCCCTGTGTGGACTCTCATGTGCCTCGCAACATGTTCTCTCTGCTGGAAAGATTTTTTACAAACTGAGCAGCTGAAAAGTTTTCCTTCTGAATGAAGTTTCATGTGAGTCTTTAAGGAGTGCTTCCGGGAGAATCTTTTACCACAAACTGAACAGGTAAATGGTTTCACTCCTGTTTGGCTATTTGGCTGAGTATCACATTCCATATCACTTACAGGTACTTCATTGTTTGGCAGAGGGTTTAAACCTGAGTGATGCTCATTGGTCTCCCCCCAGTCGCAACTGTCATCAGTCTCAGGTTCAGAGGAGTGTGACGTGTTGTCATCAGTATATGGTTGTAAATGACTATCTGGATCTGAGTACCTGGCAGGTTCTGGTCCTCCACAGTCCTCTCCATTAGCTTCGCTTTTCATTTCGTTATTGTTCTTTTCAGTTTGGCTTTGATGAAGCTGTGGTTTCTCTTCATCATCATCAGCAGCAGCAGCATCTTCACCCTTCACTGGGACAGGAGAGAATGTGAATTTGATGATATCAGCCTCCTCCAGTGCTTGAAGCTGCTCTTCCTCCTGACTGGTCCAGAGTTCCTCCTGTTCCTCTTTAATGTGTGGCAGCTCTGGTGGGTCCTCCTGGTCCAGACTGGGGCTCCACTCCTGCTGCTCACAGGGAACCTCTTCTTTACTCACCGACAGCTGCTGGACGTCTGTGGAGAATAATGAAATACAAATACATACACGTTTCAGAAAATTTCATTTCTTGTTTAAAGTTAAAAGTGGATTTTTAAAGGCTCATATAATAATGATTGTCTGGAGCAGGAAAAAAAACAATGGTCCAATAAATCCCTCCAACTCTTTGACTTTAGTAGAAACTGGAAAGGTTAGCTTTAAAGTAATAATTGCTTAAATGTTTATATATTAACATACATAAATCTAGAAAAGGAACATCAAACTAACCATAAAAAATCTAACTGGGAGCGATTGAGTTATTATTTTCTCACACTCAGTAATTCCAATTGAGTATTCTCATATTGTAATGGATGCAAGAAAATGTACTGTAGCTGTTTAACAATACTCTTTCCTTTGATCAAGGCAGCTGCTCATGTTATGTCCACATATAAACCCACTAGTGCAGAGTTAAAATAAGCCTCTCAGCTTTTTCTCAGGCTGCCTGCTGATGGGTCTGAAGACATTTTTGTTTATCAGCCTTGTGAGCGCAGACATCAGCAAATGCAAAGAAAATCGGCCTGATTAAATCGGCCTTCATTATTTATGACCACTGTAAAGACTGGCCAATTATCAGGCTCTCTGACGACATACAGGCACCAAAAATTATTATGGGATATTTATATTATTATCTTAGCCTTATTTTTGAAATGTAGAAATGTGAAATTATGGATTAATTTATGCTACTGGCCACGAGAAGCAGGTATCAGTATGGAGTTACCATGGTGATGTACCACGTTAAGAAGTAGTACTTCCTGTGGAAGGAGAGGTTTGTTGGGGGGTAAATTGCGGGGGCTGTATGATAAATACTATAGTGTGGTCTGTATACGCCTACCACCACTGTTGGGTTCCCCGTCAGATTAAAGTGAGAATACAGTACTAACCTGCTCTGTGTAACCGAAGTTGAGGGTTGAAAACAGCGTCCAGTAGTTTGTGTGACATTGTTACAAATTCACAGCAACATTTCCTCCACACACACTCCGTTTCAAACTGTTCTGTGCGCCGTGTTGGCGTCCGTCTGTTCCAGCTAGCAAGCTAACGTATTAGCTTCTCTATCAAAGCTACTCCGAGTAGCACAGCTCGGTCTCACTTCCTTTAGCGTTCTTGGCTAACAGGAGATGAGTCTGGGGTAAAACATGCCGAGAATGCTCCACTTAAACGAGTTCATCCATACAAACAGGTTCTAGTGGTTCGCTCCACTTCTATCTTATGGTAACACACACATGATGATGTAATGGGAAAAGCATGTTAGCCATGGGAAGTACAGTTCTTCTTCTTCTGGTTATATTTTGCCATGCATTACCGCCACCTAGTGATTTGGAGTGTGAACTAAAGCTCTGTAATACTTTTCCAAAACAAATAAATACCAGCAAAACAATAAACACAATAGTCAAAAACAAAAAGAAACCAAATGAAAAAAATAAATAACTTCTCAAATACTATTCATTTGTCTTGATGAAATAAATACTAAATACTCTAGTAGCTTAGTAAGAAAAAAAAACAAAGAAAACAAAAACAAAATAACAAAATTTTCACTATTATTCTGTTATTTTTTAAATAATTATTTAAAAGATTATGTCCTTTCCATGATTTCTTTCCAAGTAGAGGACAGTAGAGAGTGGACACAGTCTCCAATGTAATATTGTGTCCCTCATCAGATAGATCAGATCAGATGCTAATATTATTTCCGTCCTCTCTTGATCATATTTGCTGCAGTCTAATAATAAGTGTTTGACAGTTTCCGGTTTATTTCAATGAGTGTATAGTTCACTAGGTTGCTTGCCTATGATCTGGACTGTGTGATAATCCTGTGTGACCTATTCTCAGACAGGTGATGACTATCTTTCCCTTTGGTCTCCTGCTCTGTAATCCACTAATGCCTACATGTATATTGTAAAGAGGTCTTCCAGTGTCACATAAGTCCCAGTATTTCTGCCAAGTTTTGCGTATATGATACTTTATTTTCATTTTAACTTCTGCTTTACTTAGTGGTACTTGTATGTCAATTTGCTGTTGTTTTATTGATTGTTTTGCCAATATATCCACATTTGCATTTTCTTTAAAAATATATATATATTGCTTTCCAATCTCTCAGTGCATTCTATAAAAACTCATTTAAATACTTCTATGGGTTTTTAAATCTTTGAGCTTGAGTCAAAGTCAAGTCTTAAGTCTTTTTTTGGAATAATAAGTGTTATTGACTTTGCATCAGGTTGGAAATAGCCACTGTGGAATATGTTTATTTCTAGGAAATGTTCTTTGATTATCTTTATTTTAACTATTTCTGTTTAATACTTACTTTAGTTATCAATAAGATCATTTTAAAAGGAGGCAGCTGTGGCTCAGGAGTTCCATTTCTGGTGAATGTGAGGTGCTCTGAGTGGTCTTGGTGTACTTTGTATTCAGAAAGGCCCCATAGTCTGTCCCCCCGCCTCCTCAGAATTACAGAATGTACACTGACTAGGATTGTTTCACTTTTTCAGTTTTGTTTAATACTAATATTTTTTTCAAACTGACTCAGTTGCCACAATACCTAACACTCAGTTAAAGTGATCTTTGTTTTTAAAAGCTGCTTTCTGGAATCCAAATAAATGAACATTTCCTAAAATTCCAGCTATTCAAGGTCAACATTTATCTTTACATGCTTACATTAGACAGCCACTTTACAACTTATTTCACTGACAGATATGGTTAATGTTTATCACTCACACGCCCCTCTGGGTGTTTCCTGTTTAAAGCTTAATTTCATTTACTCTGAACATTGTGGCACAGATTGTTTTCGCCTTCTAAACCTCCAGTTGAAGGTAATGTACAAAGTTTTCATTTTCCCTCTTAATACAAGCTGTCTTTAGTTACAGTAGAAACAGCAAAAATCTGCCGCTTGATTCCAGACTCATAACTATAGCTTGAGTGCTGGACTTGTGATTGGTTGGCTTGGCAACAGGATAGACTGTATAATTAAAAATGGACGTAGTCTCCGTGACATTACTTGTGGCTTTCTAAAGAACCATTGTGAAGCTCAGTTTGGTCGGCTCCAGCTGTCGGCATCTTGGCAGTCCTGACTCCACTGGCCCCCGGTGCATTCACATGGATTCAGGCAGACAGCAGACAGACTGCACCTTCCTTATAGCACGGAAAACAACAAAAAGAAACACACATGATCATGTGTGATGGCGTAGTGTTTACAAAAAAATTATAAAATATATTCAATACAAATGTTTTGTGCATATTATTTTATAAAATGTATGTATCTGTACATGGGTTGACTATTGAAAATGTAACAAATTGAAGCAAAAAAAAAAACTGTCTATGAAGTA